ATGGGGGGGAAAAAGAGGAACAACTGTAATAATCTGAACAATAAAGATTTATTTAAAAAAAAATAAAAGGATGCTACAAAATGTTAACTGTAATAGGTCAAAGAAGAAATCTGTGAAAATGAGGTAGATGTATAGATATGTGTATAAAGGATATTGTAAAATATAGCATTTTAATTTTTTGTAAAGTATATGTAAAATGTCGAGTAAACAATGTAGCCTTAAACAACTAGTAGTAGTTCACATAAAAATGGTGGGGGAACAAAGGTGCATATTTACCCTTCTCCTCCCATTCTTGTTATCTTTAGGCGAAAATCCACAGAATTCAGACTGGGAGGCTTCCATTTTAAAATATCATCACATCGACCAGGTCTGTATTTCTAAAGAGAATTGAAATGATAATAGTTAAAAAGAAGATAAGAAATTAACATTTGACTTATTCAATATAGTATGTTACTTTTTAATAAGCAAAATTACTATTCCTTTCCAAATATAATTTTTGTTATGTTCAACTGATGAGTAAAGCTAGATATCTACCTTCTTATTGATGGCCTTTCCAATTTTCCTGCCAAAGTATGTAGACCCTTATTTGTGAAAGTCCAGAAAAAGAAGGAAACTTGTTATTCTTTCTAATTTTTCTATGGCTTACAGTAAGTTTCATCATTTTTCAATTTTTGGGTTTTTTTATGTTTAACTCCACTGTAGGCTCATTTATAATAAAATTAACCAATGAAATTAGCAAAATGGATACAATTATGTAAACCATCACCAAAATATGCTACATAGCATTTCAATCACCCAAAATTTTTCCTCCTAACATTTGCAGTCAATTCCCCACACCAATTCTGGCAATAATGGCTTTTCTATCACTATAGTTGTGCCTTTTCTAGAATTCCTAAGAAATTTTTAACAAAGATTTTTTTAATTTATCTATGCTGGTGCACATAATGATAGTTTGTCCCTTTTTATTACTGATAGATCCCATTTTATGTATATACCACAAACTGTTCATGCATTTATAAGTTGATGGCTATCTGGGTTGTTCCCAGTTTTAGGCTATCATGAATAATGCTGCTCTGAACATTTTTGTGAACATGTCTTCATAACTCTTGAAAAAATAGCTCAAATTAGAATGGCTGGGTCACATGATAAATGTATGTTTAACTTTATAAGAAATTGTCAAATTGTTTTCCAAAGTGGCTGTAACATTTTCTATTCCTATGAGTAATATATGAGAGGTCGATTTGCTCCTCATCCACCTTAGGCGTAGGTATTGTAAATCTTTTTAATTCTAAAGTATGTCTCATAATTTTCATTTGTATTTTTCTAATAACCAAAGATGTTGAAGATCTTTAATTTGATTAGTTGCTATCTGTGTATGTTCTTGGGTGTAGAGTCTGTTCAAATTTATCCTTGTTCTTACTGGGTAATCTCATTACTCACTTGCAAAAGTTGTTTATATATTCTGGATAAGCAGTCTTGGTTGAATACATGTACTGCAAATATTTTCTACCAGTCTTTATCTTGCCTTTTCATTTTCATAACAATCTCTTTTGAAGAATAAAGTTATTGTTTATTTTAATGAAATAAAAATAATTTTTCTTCCAGCCTTATTGAGGTATAATTGAGAAGTAAGAATTTAAGGTGAACAACATGTTTTGACATATGTATACACTGTGAAATAATCACCACAATCAAGTTAACTAACATATCCATCTTCTCACATAGTGCCTTTTTTTTCCCTTTTGGTAGTAAGAACATTGAAAATCTACTTTCTTACCAAGTATATATTATCACTATTAATTGTAGTCACCATGCTATACATTAGATCTCCAGAACTTACTCATCTCAAAACTGAAAAGTTTTTACCCTTTAATCAATATCTCCCGTTTTCCCCTATCTCCCAGCCTCTGGTAACCACCATTCTATTCTCTTAGTTCGACTTTTCTTTTTTTTTTTTTTATGATTCCACGTATATGTGAGACTTTGGGATATCTGTCTTTCTGTGTCTGGCTTATTTCACTTAGCATAATGTATTCAAGGTTCATCCATATTGTTGTAAGTGGCAGGATTTCTTTTTTAAGGCTGAATAATATTCCATTGTGTGTGTGTGTGTGTGTGTGTGTGTGTGTGTGTGTATGCGCGCGCATACACCAGATTTTCCTTTATCCATTCATCTGTTGATGTGCACTTGGATTGTTTCATATTTTGGCACTGTGAATAATGCTACAATAAACATGGGAATGCAGATACTTTTCCAAGATACTCGTTTTATTTCTTTTGGATATATACTGAGGAGTGGTATTGCTGGGTTATATGGTAATTCTATTTTTTAATTGAGAAACCTTCATACTGTTTTTCATAATAGCTGTATCAATTTACATTCCTACCAACAGTGCACATTCCTTTGCTTCCACATCCTCACCAACATTTATCTTTTGACTTTTTGATAATGACCATCCTGACAGGTATGAGGTGACCTGACAGGTATGAGGTGATAGCTCACTGCTTCTGATTTGCATTTCCCTAATGATCAGTAATGTTGAGCATCTTTTCAAAATCCTCAATTTTTGTAATTTGTGCTTTCTGAGCCCTCTTTAAGGAATCTTTACTGTAATCTTCTATGTTTTCTTAGAGAAATTTTATAGTTTTAGTTCTTATGTTAAGGTATGCAATCCATTTGAGGTTAACTTATTTATATGGTGTCAAATAAGGACTAGGTTCACTGTTTGACAGACAGATGGAAATCCAATTGATCCAGCACCAGTTGTTGAAAAGATTATCCTTTCCTCACTGAGGTGCCTTGGCACCACTGTCAAAACCAATTATTTATAGATACAGAGCTACCTCTATTCTCACCAGTGCACTGCATTGATAAACAGGCCCTTCTTCCTACTAGCAACACACTAGCTCGACTACTGTAGCTTTATACGTTTTGAAACCAGATTATTTATTCCTCAAACTTTGTTCTTCTTTTTCCAAACTCTCTTACCTAATGTAGCATTTATATTTCCACATAAATTTTAAATCAGCTTGTCAATTTCTATGAAAAATAAGTCTACTAGGATTTTAATTAGGATTACACTGAATCAATAGGTCAATTAGGGGAGAAATAACATCTTAATATTGATTATTCCAATTCATGAACACTGCAAATCTATTTATTTAGGCCTTCCTAACTTTCAGCAATGTTTGGTAGTTTTCAATATACAGTTCTTACACAACTTTTGTTAAATTAATTTCTAATAATTTCATTTTTTGTGGTATTATCAACATAAAATATCAGTCAAGTTTCTATAAAATAGCAATCAATAATCCAAGAAAGAAATTAAGAAAGCAATTCCTTTTACAATAGCATCTAAAAGCACAATATACTTAGGAATTAATTTAATCAAGGAAGTGAATGATTTGTATAAAGAAAACTGTACAACATTACTGGAAGGGATAAAAACCTGAAAATGGAAAAATATCCCATGTTCATACATAGGAAGTATGATATTGTGATTAATAACAGGAAATAATTATGGTCCTCCTCCCTCTTTCTGACACAGAGCTCCTAAAACCCTTGGAATTCCCTAAATGATGAGAGTAATAAAGTTCTGTTCTTATGTTCATGAGGATTTTTTAAACACCTAAGAATAGGGGCTGATGGACAAGGGAGCCAACCTTGTGATTAGAGGGTTTGAACTTTCAGTCCCACCCTCCTGAATTCAGGGGAGGGAAGAAGGGCTGGAGGCTGGATCCATGGCCTACAGGTAATAATTTAATCAATCCTGTGTAATAAAGCTTCTGTCAAAAAACAATCCAAGTTGGTGGACACGTGGAGACTAGAGGAGAGTAGCATGGCTGGAGAAGACGTAGAAGCTCCATGCCCCTTCCCCATACCTTGCCCTATGCACCTCTTCCTTCTGGCTGTTCCTTTTACATTAAACCCCTAATTTAGTAAGTTAAGTGTTTCTCTTAACTGTGATCCACTCTAACAAACTAAACAAACATTAGGAACCTCGGATTTATGCCCAGTTGCTAGGAAGTACAGGAAACAACCTGGACTTATAACTGGCAACTAAAGTCTAAGGAGGGGGGTCATTAGAACCTCCAATCTACAGCCTGAGCATGAGACTGATGTCTGAAGTGAAGTGTGGGCAGTCTTACAGGACTGAGACCTCAACCTGTGGAATTTGATGCTATCTCTGGTTAGATGGTGTCAAAGAATTGCTTGTTGGTGCAGAGAAAACCCCTGTCCCACATTGGAACTGATCTCAGAACAGCAATTTAGGGATACTTAATATTTCTAAGATGTCAATACTACCCAAAGCCATCTACAGATTCAATGCAATCCCTAAAGAAATTCTAACAGCCTTTTTTGCAGAAATAGAAAAGCTGATCCTCAATTTCATATGGAGTTGCAAGAGGCCCTCAAGAGTCAAAACAATCTTGAAAAAGGAACAAAGTTGGAGGACTCACAGTTCCCAATTTCAAAATTTAGTACAAGGCTACAATAATCAAAATAGAGTTACTGACATAGGATAAACATACAGACCAATGGAAAAGAATTGAGAGTATAGAAATAAACCCATATGTCAATAGCCAATTGATTTTTTAACAGGAGTCCTAAGTCCATTAAATGGAAAAAGAGACTACTCTCTTCAATAAATGATGCTGAAACAGCTGGGTTTCCACATGCAAAACGAATGAAGTTGGATCCCTACCTCCCACCTATACAAAAATTAACTAAAAATGGACTAACAACCTAAATACAACAGCTAAAACCACAAAACTCCTAGAAGAACACAGGGGTAAATTTTCATAATCTTGAGTTTGGCAGTAGATTCTGAGATATGACACTAAAAGCATGAGTAGATGTTTTAAAAAAGATAAATTGTACTTCATCAAAATTTTAAAAACTTTTGTGCATCACAAGACATTATCAAAAAAGTGAAAAGGCAACCTATAGAATTAGGGAAAATATATGTAAATCAGATATCTCATAGGACCTTAATATCTAAAATAAAGAATTTGTAAAACTCAACAACAAAAAGACAAACAACCCAATTAAACAACTGTCACAGAACTTGAATAGACTTTTCTCCCCAGAAGATATACAAATGGCCAATAAGCACATGAAAAGATGCTCACTATCATTAGCCAGGAGGGAAATGCAAAAAATGCAAATCAAAACCACAATAAGCTACCACTTCAAACCTGCTAGGGAGGCTATCATTTTTTCCAAAAAAAAAAGGAAAATAACAAGTATTGGAGAGGATGTGGCGAAATTAGAAGCCACATACTTTGCTGTAAGGAATATACAATGATGCAGCCACTCTGGGTAACAGTTTGATGGTTCCTCAAAAAGTTAAACATAAAATTACCCTAGGATTCAGCACAACCCCACTCTTAAGTACACATCCAAAAAAACTGAAAATGATATTTACATGCTTATATTCACTGCAGCATTATTTACAAGTCAAAAGGTGAAAACAACCTACATTTCCGTCATCATATAAATGGATAAACAAATTGTGGTATATACATACAATAGAATAATATTCAGCCATAAAAAGGAATGAAGTTCTGATATAAGCTACAAAATGAATAGATCCTAAAAACATTATGCTAAGTGAAATAAGTCAGACACAAAAGGACAAAAATTGTATGAGTCCACTTATAAGAAATATCCAGAATAGGCAAATTCACAGTGATAGAAAGTAGATTAGAAACATAAGGAGCTGGGGGGTAGGGAGGGAGAAGAGTTATTGCTTAATGGTTAGAGAATTTCTGTTTGGTGTGATGTAAAATTTTGGAAATAGTGGAAATGGTTGTATAAACTGTCTATATAATTAAAGAGACTAAAGGAAAAAATGTTTAAAATGTATTCTAGAAACATAGTAAAAAGAAAATACTTTACTTGTGTGGCTTAAGGACTGACTATAGAAGAGTAAATCCTATAAGACTTAAAGAATATTCACTCATGCACACTTGCAGCATGAAGTAAATATGTGCAAAACATAGGAGTAGGAAAATATAGGATCAACTGAAGGAGAAGCAAGTACGTTGATTCAGCTAGGGCATTACGGGGAGTGGGACCATATTATAAAAAGGATATTAAGGAAGGAAAAACTGCTAAGTGTTCTCATTACTAATACATTCTTAAAATATACAAGTCAAACTACATTCTAACAGATTTTTATAAGTTTTAGGAAAAAATGCATAAACCCTTGTCACAGGATCACTTATTTCAAATAGAAGTCCATATAATGACAAATTTAGTATAACGTTAGTTTTGCTAAAAAAGACAAATCACTGGAGTTGATAGGAAAGATATCAGTAGCAAATTTAAGAACATAATATATGCTATTTTCCCCTACGTCTTATGTTGAAACATGAATGAATATAAAATCAAAAATATAATATTTCAATGAAAGTTTTTACCCTAAAAGATTCTTTTAGGTAACATATATACTTCAGGATGATCACAAATAAATCTTAGACTTGCTTAATATAATTTTTTTATAAATGCTAAAATTGAAAAATTTTCTAATTGTCAACCTATTAATGAAAAGAATCTGGAAAAATTGTCTTTTTTTCTTAAAAAGTGTACCTGACAGAAATGTCACATACCTTTAATAAGAGTGGTTCATGATGGTAGTGAGGGGGGAAAAGAGTAAGGGGAGAAAGGAGTGTAACTGTCCCACCCCAACCCCATTCACAACCTCTGCCAAGGGAATGTCATACTTACACACAACCATCATTTACTTCTGTTCCTTATTTACTTCTGACAATGCATATGAGACCACTTAGAAACCACTACTAATCTAAGTTATGAAATTAAGGAAAGATTAATGATTGTATAGTTTTAAAATACTTTATAATAGGTAACTAACAAACCCTAAAATAATTTTAATATGTGATATTATTTGTACAATAAATGTTAAATATCTTTTACATTCTTCTCTCTGGAAATCAAGATTCCATCTTGACTAATGAAAATACAGCATGTAAAAAAAAAAATACAGCATGTACCAACCAACTCTTCTGTTCAAATAAGCAATAATTCAGAAACTTTAGTCATTCCTCTTCTCACAGCACATTAAATCATTTATTTTAATTTGAAATTCTGGACTTGATTGGGAATTTCAAAACACATTTATGAAAATTAATAAAATGTATAAAAATGTTAGAAAAGTATATTTTTAAAATACTAGAGTTCTCAATTACTGAATGTAAATTCAACAATGACATAGATTCCATGATTAAAATATATTTAAACACCTATTAGAATGTAAATTCTACTTCAGCAAAAATTCTATCTAATTATATGCCTACGAAATACCTAGTAAAATGTTCCATAAACACTTAATAATAAAAATAATAAAATGCAAAAGTTTAAAATGTACTACAAAATATTAGTCTCAGGTATAGTTAACTTTATTTTTAAATGAATTATTTTAGATTATGAAATTATTTAAATTAGCAATATTCATGAAACATTATGTATATCAATTATTAAAAAGATTCCTCTTTTTATAATCTCCAAAATAATAAAGGCAAATGTATTACATAATACAGGGATTTAAGCCTTTTAAAAATAAGTACTTGTGAGTTATCAAATGAAATGCAGAATCTTGCTCAAATATAAACAAGGATACAAAAACATTCTTTCAAGCTACATGTTCCAATGTATAATTAGGGAGTAGTGCATTTCAATTTTATTAAATTCGCTAGCATATATCTAAATAAAAATAATTATAAAAGCTATATTTAACTGATACATACAATACTTAGTTCTATAGAAATAAATCTGATTTTATCAGATGAACTCTCAAATAAAAATTGGGGATAGGTTATGTCTAAAGACAATTACTACTATAACCTGAGATGTCCCATTATCATAAAAAATGTAATAAATGAAAAAAAAAGTAATAAATGCAAATGTCAGGCAACAAAGAAATGTTTAGGAAAATGTTTACCAAGTAAGAGTAGAGCCTGGCTTTAGAGGTAGAGAATGGCCATGTGCCAAAGAGAAGTCTCTAAAACAAAAATAAAGAGAAAACAAAATGGAGGCATAAGTGATATTATTCTGTGGAATAAAGCAATGATTCTCAACTAAGAGGCAATTTTGCCCTCCAGGGAATATTTGGCATTTTTGAGTAGTCACACTGGGGAAGGGAGGGAATGCTACTGCCATCTAGTGGGTAGAGGCCAGGAATGTTTCTAAACATCCTGCAACATACAGGCAGCTGGCCACAACGAAGAATTATCCTGCTCAAAATGTCAATTTTACCAAAGTTGAAAAACCCTGATGTAAAGGAAGATAACAGTAATAATAGCAATAACAGCAAGATATTTAGTTCCTCTTTGTCTCTAATAACTACCTACTCCATGATTTTAAGCAGTTCAAAATGTGGGCTTCATCCAGCTTGCTTGTAAAAATGTAATACCATTTTGCTTGCCTAAAACAGAACGTCTACACCAGAAATACCTAAAATGCTTTGCAGCCCTACTCTACAACTTCCACTAGTAAGTGACCAGATATTTTAACATAATACATATTCCAGGCCCTACACTAAAACCATAATGCTTTCTTCACAAGGATCACACCCTGAAGCTAAGAAAGATCCTTGGCCTTACCACAATATTAATTTTATTATTGTTGTTGTTCTAGCATTTTGTTTTAAAGAAAACAGAAGAAATTCTAATTATTAAGGCTACTAAATAGAAGAGTAAAACAACTCTAGATTTAGTGACTTGAGTGGATTTTTTGTCTACGTTTCACTTAGAAACAAACAGCAAATAGCTATTGTGTAAAACAAAACATAAATACCCTCCTATAGAGAAGGAAAGTCATTCATTCAATACTAAGTATCTACTATGTGCTTGGTACTATACTAACTGGAGAAGATATGAGCTGAACCACATGAGGCTTTTTAATCTATTCCTCAACAAATATCACAGAAGTGCAAAAATGAACACACGAGTTGCTAAGTAAGTATAACAGAGAAACATCAAAATCAGTGGGACAGGGGTAAAGAAAGTTTTCTTGAATAAGAGAAATGCATGGATTGAATTTTAAAGAACAATTAGCTTACAAGAAAGTTCCAGGAATGTATTTGAGCTGAGGAGGTATGATCAAGTTTTCTGAGACTAAGTTGGCTCACTACTCTATGCTGTTAATGACATAGAGAGGGAAAAGCCATTCTAAAAAAAAATATGTCAAGTCAATCACTTAAATTCCATTCTGAAAAGTCACATCCTTGGTAGAAATAGTAGGGAGAGGTATCAGGGAAAGAAGCAGGGGGCTGGGGGGAGGGGGCACGATGGAGAATTCCACTTTCAAAAGCTTGCTGACATTTCTCATTTACTTAAAAACATTTTCCTGCTAATTATGGAAACTGAGGTTGTGATTTGAGAGTAAAATTACTAGAGAACTGATGAAACTTCTTGGCTTATTCAAGTTGGAAAATTACTCAAAAATACATTGATTACTATTTTTATTATCTCATTCACAAGTCTAATTAATTTGTCCTGGCTGTTGTTTCAATATAAAAAAACCTGTGGCTTACATTTCTAATGAAACAATTTGTTAAGACTATAGTTACACAAAGACTTCTGAACATTCAGCTTTGGTTTCTATATCTGGGTAGTTTCATAGAACTATAAGTGATTTTATAATTTAACCAATTAGGAAATTGGGGTAATGGAAAGTTAAATGAAAATACCTCATTAGTATCAAGACTAGTTACTAGACCTGGGTAAAAATACTAGAAAAATGGAGGGCCCTGAAAGCATGAAGTAAATTCCCTCTTTTTATAGATAAAAAACAAATTGATAACCAGAAAGGTTATGACTTCTCCAAAATGTTCCCAAATCACTGTAACACAGAAATCTTTCTACAACAATATCAAAATAAACTCTATCATTTATCCAAAGCAAATAATTAAAGACTAAAAAGGTTGGGTTAGATGATCTCATGAGTTGAGAATATAAAACTGTTCCAAAGGAAACCAATTATAAGTCAATTGTTTTCTAATTATTCTTAGTCTAGTTGTGTGTGGAGTTGTAAGTAGGAGGAGAAAGCAATTGGTAAGTGGCCTGGCTAGCTTCCTGGTAAGAGAGCACTCAGAAAACCTAATAAACTTCTTCAGCAGCTAAACCATTTAGCCTGTCTCTACCACTGGGGCACCAGGGAGAGCCTTCCTGAACCAGGTATCCTGTCTTGTCTTTAGCATATGCCTAATCTCCCAATGCACCCTGACCCTACTCTCTGTGTCCACTCTAATGCTTCCCCTAGTCCAGGGGTCCTCAAACTGCGGCCCGCCGAAAACATTTATCTGGTCCACCGAGTGTTTTTGCCGCCGCTGCCTGTCCTGCTTAGCAGCCGACTCGTCCCAGGCCCGCAGTGCGCATGTGTGGAATGTCTGAGGGACAGTGAACTGGTCCCCTGTTTAAAAAGTTTGAGGACCTCTGCCCTAGTCCATCAGTCTGCACACTTTTACCTTACACACCGTAATGTAATTTGCTGCTATGCCAAATTTCTTCACAGAATGCTAAGCCCATTTGAGGGCAGAACTCTGTCTTTATTCATTGTTATGATTTCTAAAACTCAGCAATGTATATGACATACAGATGACATTTATCAGATGAAAGGGTAAGTTAATATATTCCACAACCCAGGATTAACTTTCACTCAGTATCCAAAACTACTGTCATCTGGTATAAAATTCACTAACTTTTCAAGCTAGCCAACTCATAGTTTCTCCTCTTCTCAGGTAGACACATCCTATCTAATAAAAGACAAAAAGGGTAATTAACCGTACCTCGGCTACACTTCCCATGGGCTAATCAGGGCGATATGCAAATTAACTGCCAACAAAGATGGCGGCCGGCAGCCACACAGCTGAAGTGAGCAGGAGGTTTGCTTGCTCCAGTGATGGAGGAAGCCAAGGTTCCCCGCCTGCTGCGGCCCGGCTCTGAGCCCGAAAGCAACAGCTCCAAAAGCAACAAAGTTTCAATTATAGAAGCCAAACAAATCCCAGGTACCTGCTTTCAGCCAGCCGCGGCCTCAGAGCTGGGAGCGCCAGTGAAGGCAACAGAGTTTCAATTATAGAAGGAAAATATATCCCAGAATAAAAGAAAAAAAGGAGAGGCTGGGAGCTTCAGTCACAGGCCAGCCTGAAAACGGCCCTCAGCCCCTCACCCAGACTGGCCAGGCACCCCAG